CGAGAGAAAAAACGCTAAAGTGCTAAATAAATGGGAAAAAATATTTGCATTCGAACGTACGAATACTCTGCAATTAGCCAATTCGATTAGTCAATCAAGGTGTAATTGTTAGCTTAAAATAAAAATATTATGAACGACTAGTTGATGTTGGTGTTTGGGTATGTAATTGTTGGGCATCTAACGGGGCCTAAGGTCCCACCGGGTTAACGTTCCCCTAGTGACTTCCTGGACCGTTTTGTCCTCAACAATTTAAACCCCTGACCCCGAAAATGAAATTAACAACTTGTACAATTATCCACAGGTGGAATTTATCAAATATTTTACTGATTTCAGGTGATCACGGATGGATTGTGCATATTTCATTGGATATGGCGACGTGAAAGCGACTCACAACACTGGGTACATTCTAAGTTCTCTCCTTTCCCGCGGGAGTCATAAAAATTACGCATTGTGTTTGGGTTGCCAGCGGAAAGATGCGCTCTTACCATTCGGCACTTACATATCCCCATTGTTCTTACAAAACCCATCCACTTTTCACAGATCGAGCCGTTATACTGTCTCTAGCATACATGCTTATGGTATGTACATCTAAATACCAAGAGTGATATTTCATTATTTACCTTTCGAGAGATTATGAACATCGCACTTGGAATTTTTTTACACATTTGTCAAGACATCTAGAAACATACACTATCAAAAATATTGAAAATACATGAAAAATTCAGTAACTGAATTTTTGATTGATTGAAATTTCAGGGAAATTATTGAAATTATTGCTTGAATTTTCAACTTTTATCACCAGAATATTCAAAGAATTAATTTATTTGTGAATAATTCAAATGAAATTTCATGCCATTTTGTTGTTCTTAAAAAATTCAAGTGTAATTTTCCAAGAGTCTACGTTAAAAAAAAAAATTATTCTTCAGTAAAAGGATGAAAAAGATGTAAAAATATAAAACTCCGCGGAGATAAATTTTATATCAAATAGTACGGAGATTTTTTCTCATCCATTGATAGCGAGAAAATATTGTACCAACTCCATCACATTGGTAAATCCCCCAAGAGTGAGGCTTTCGTTTCCCACGCACTGCACCGTTCTCAAGACGCAACAAAATCACCTTTTCGTATTTTTATGATTATTTTTTCTCCCTCCGACATATCAGTACCAAACACCTTGCTCACTCATCGAGAAAGTACAGGGCAATGGGAAAAATTGTGTGGGAAATGCCTGAAAAGGGTTCGCCTGCGTTAATAATAAACTAAAACGTTTGGTATTATTATTGATGGGTGAGGACCGTTATCGTCGAATAAACTTCAGCAATATCCTGTACATTTCGAATAACTCTCCCCCAGGCTATCATAAAACTTTGGCTTCTGCCATTTTCCCCTGAATAATTCGATATTTCCAATTGACCAAGCGATAATCACAACTGATTACCATTTGAAAGTTAACTTTTGAATTTTCTCCCTGTGCTGTACCACTGATTGGCTTGATTCATCAACACGCAAACCCATTAAATATCATGAAATTCGACTCAATCATTAGCGTAATCATCCGTAATTTAAACTCTTAAATACCCCAGAATCACCTTTGCAAGTGCCATTAATTCTATCCATCAATGTTTACAATAATAAACATTTACGGATGAATGGAAAAATGTGCAAATGGATAATACGAATTCCTTGATTTTTCATGGGGTTTTAATTAGTAGGTTAATCGCTCGTTCAGAGACAGATCACATTAATTAGCCGCTAATACGCGAATATTATACGATGCGAACTCTTACTCGTCGGCTCGTAAATGGCCAATTGGCCATCACTCGGTACGACCAATCGCTAGATTATGGTCAAGACTTGGAAAAAAATATAAATTAAATAAATTACAGTAGATGCTGTGGGGCATTAATAGGGTTGAGCCAGAGTTCATGGGATCGTAAACGAATTAAAACAAACGAATTACAACTTTAACGCGATAAATATATAAATTCGAATCTGAATTCCATTTCCGGCTAGGAACATTTTCACGGCTAGGAATTTTTTCTCTCAAATTTTCATGAAAATTTAATTTAAATTTATTTGTTTGAAAATGATAAGCGAAAAATTGCCGGTGAAAAAAATGCTTTGAGTGCCAGATCAGTGGAGGATTTCAGATTGATCCATAGGTGATCACGAGCCGAGTTGATTTTCCACTCGGCTTGTGTGGAAAATATGAATCAACACATCAACCCGGTGGCAGAATATTGCCAAGATGGAATAAGAGAAAATAAGTGGAATAAAAATAGGAGTACGTCGTGGCGGCGATCGATTTATCTATGCGTCGAGTACAGTGGAATGCACGTAATCTGGTTGACGGTGGAACCGGCGGTGGTTAGTGTAGTGTAAGGTATGTACCCGCCTTAACGTTGAAGCAAAACGAGAAAAGGCTATAACGAGCCTTGCCACGGCCATAACTAAATACCGAACCGGGTGAGAGTATATAGTGGCTTGAATAGCGTCTCCGTCTTACAGTTGGTATACGTTCGAGTTTCGAAATTTATGATCGCGAGGATCGATCTTACATGGGTTAAAAATCCATTTTCAATTTTACCCACTACCACTTTGCTTAATTAATTCAGCCAATCAACTCACAACTGGTCATCTCTCTTCATAGTTGCGCCCTCCACTCGGTTACAGGGAAATAAAAAAAAAAAGCCAATAAATGCGGAGATCAAATGATAAGTGTGATGAGAGGAAGGACGACAAGTGCAACATGTCGACATTTCTGCGAAATGCTATGAGTTTCTCAATATGGAACAAAAAGATGCCGAGAAATCGAGAATACCGTATACGTGACGGCACGAGAGTAAGTCATACATTTAATTGTCGCTTATCGCGCACTTGGAAATTATTTTCGGGTTATTTTTCAGGTATGACTCATTAAAGTTTTTATGGTCACCGAATTTCATGGAAGTTGTCGATTTTTTAAATTGAAAAATCGGATATTTCATTGATTTTCCCATCAAATAATCGGAAAATCGATAGAATCCTTGATTGAAAAAAAAATATATTAGCAAAAAGGTACATTTTTTTCAGCTTAAATCAACCGTTGGGACTTCTCTCACTGCCATTTCAACGTAAAAGCACTAGATCTTCAATCACCTGGTTAATTTCCCTCGTGGCTGTATGCAGTCACGATATAAAATGTATGCAATTCGATTAAAATCGATTGGGGTGTGCATGTGTGCCCAATTGTGAACACTAGAGATCGGGTGTAAATAGGGCGTGCGACCTGACTTCACGTCTCGGTGAGCACAACCACGTGTGGGCAAACACTAGGTGAAAAACGAAAATCTACCTCTCCACACTCACTCATTCAATGAAAATTTGTTCTCTTCCAATAGAAAGAAATTGGATCATCCAAGTGCACCGCTGGAAAAGGTTGGAAAGTGTTCCTGCACTTTTTTCTCCAACTGATTTCTAGTTAAAAGAGAAAGACTAATCAACGGATCTCGTATGATCAAAGATTTCTCGAATTTTCCATTGGCCTCTGCTGCGAAGAACTCAATTCACCATTCATCTAAAATTAATCTATATTCCTTTCCAAACAGTTCAAATAAAAAAATTACCAACAACTGTGAGACACAGGAGGCTGAAAAATCCCCAAGCATACGACTAAAAAATGCTTTCCCCAATCCATTAATAAAATAAACTAGGTTAATGAACATTAACGCCCAGAAAGATCTGATAAATCTAAATGAAAACAGTGTCAAAGCCTTCCACTAAGACAAATGATCCCATTGCCTCTAAAAAAAAAAGCAGAAAAAGTATCCGTGTGAATGTCCCGTAAAAATCCAACACAACAATGATGAAATGTAAAAGCCTGGAGGAATTACTCTCCATGGGGCTCCAGATATTTTTGTCAAAACCATGAATTGATGTTCCCAGCGAAAAATCCATTTACAGTGAATCCACCTGTACTAAATGAGGAAGCATCGCTCCACTTTGAGCGTCACAGTGTGTCATTATTTCAAGGGGAATGCACCTAATTTGAAAGAGACTCGGAGTATCGAGGTTTGTAATCGCCATATAGCTTGCATTATGTACGGTACATACACAGAGAGACCGCGTTAATCATCGTCAAACCTTAACGAGCACCACGTAAAATGGCACTTATATCGCCGCGCCCCAAGGTAGACCGCTAGTCGTTAGATCCCCTTTCAGGTAAAGAATCTCAGAGTTGCCTACAGCATTTTCAACATTGGGGGAAAGTCCCCCAGAAATAAAAATTATTTCATACTCTTGACGTAAGTCTTTCGCCAGATACTCCCCAAGGGCTGCGATTCTCAAATTGTTAAATCAAGTTGTCCATGTGTAAACATTATATATTATTCTGTTAAATATTACTACGGATATTGATTTCTCAATTAAATTCTATATACTGATATTCTTTTGAGATTGATTGAATGATTCAGTCATTTTTTCTTTTCTCAATTAGTGGATTGGTTATTGTTTCGTTCATTTTTCGCCTTCGGATCGTCTTTCCTGTTGATATTATTTTATGTCATATTTGATTAAATGAATTTTGTTTATTTAAACTTTTAACCAATGTTGAATAATTTTATGATATGTGACCTTGCCGAAATGTCAGATGTAAATTGAATAATTGAATTGTTGATGATTGATACTTGGTGTTGATTTTTAATTTCTTAAATTGATTAATTAATTGACGAATGCAATTGTCGAATTATCGAAGAGAATGAAAAATTTCGTGAATCACGGACACGTGCGAATGATTCCAAAAGTGACAGAATGACAACATCTACTATTTCATTATTACCGAAGGTCAGTGACTCGACAATATCCAGGGGCTACCACCTAGTATCATTTAACGCGCCAATGAAAATTCCATCTAATAATCCATCACTTTCATCAATTGTTTCCAATCTCCACGAGTCATAAAACCTCAATTACCCCTCAACTATGAATTTCTTCACGACATGAAAATGAAAATAACCACTAACCGATTGCAATGACTCCAGATTCACTGATTCCCACGGTATTTCCCATCCAATAGCACAGATGACTCCAAACCACTCCAAGACTCCAAAATAAACAGCCCGTTGTCTTCAACACTCGATAACTGTTCTACAATAATTCATGTGTTCCATGTAACCGAAACAACTCCATTAGTACACAAGTCAGATCGTTGAATCCTTCCAATCACTCACCACACAAGTACCAACACGAATAAATAAATAAATAAATGAATTATCCAGAATAAATAACTAAATAGATGAATACCCGGGTGAATGGATTTAAATATTATTTGGATGATATGTGGAAATGTGTAAGAAATCACTGCGCAAGAGAAGTGAAGAGAAACACTGGTATATCGGGGGGAAAAACATGGGCTGAATACTCGTATAGAATTTTGTTTACATTCCCGATGAGACACACATGCGTCAGTGAGGCATCTACAGTGTCTCAGAAGCAAGTGCGCGCCTTCTCTCAAACACGGAATCGCAACTGACTGTCATCTCCCCCCTCTCATTTCTACCTGAGGCACCAGCCAATTGGCTCTAACTCTCTTGTTTTCCCCTCTAGCTCACCTCTTGCAGAATTTTAAACATCTGGCTGTTACTGTGGCTGTTACTGTGGCTGCTGATGTGGCTG